GATATCGCACACCAACGCGGTGCGCCGGTGGCGGTGACGATTTCGCTGCAGTGCCAAAGTACGTGGCGGTATTGCATGCTACACACACCGGCGCGGTGCCACGAACGCGCTTTCGCGACATCTGTTTTAATTTTTTTTACAAAAAATGTCAATTACAGAGCAATTAATAGAAAAAGTGAAAAAATATCCCATATTATACGACTTAAGCCATGAGAACTATAAAAATGTTCATAAAAAGGACACAGTTTGGAATGAAATCGAAGCTGAACCCAATGAAAATGTAATACCTTATTTCCCTTTCATCTTCTGCTAAAGTTATTAATAACTAAGCTTCTTCTTCTTCTGATGAAATTTTCAGTTACTAAACCTAAACACAAAATTCACAGAAGAAATGTATGTCGTACTAACCGCATTAGTGTGAATAGAAACAAAATGGAATGCGGGGTACTGCGCGATATCTACCGTCACCAGCACCGTTACCGCTACCGCCACCGTCGTAACATGTTGATGTGTGAGATCCTTAAGTGTCTTTAAAAACCGTTTTTATTTTAATAATGAACAGTACCAAGAAATGTTAGAATATCGACGTTTGAAAAAATTTGACATATGTTCAGTTAGAGGCGTTGAAAAGTTTATTGCTCGTGTATCATCAGGTGAATCTAGCATAAAATATTACGTTACAAACGACGAATGTTTGACATTTTGCATGATGCACATTTGGCTATTGGACATGGTGGTAAACATCGTATGGAAAGTGAATCTATGAAAAAATACAAGAATATAACTCAAGATGTTATTAAGTTTTTGTGTTTACACTTGTGTGATGGATGCCAAAAGAAACAAAAATCTATCAAAAAAGGACTTGTGGTTAACCAATGATATTTTCGGAGATGAACAGCCGTTGTCAAGTGGATTTAATTGATATGCAATCCCATTCAGATGTAAAATACAAATTTATCATGGCTTACCAGGACCACTTAACTAAGTTTGTTCAAATGCGTGCAATGCTAAGAGCCCGATAGATATATTTTGTATTTCTGGCGCTAAAGGTACAGTTACATCTGACATTTATTGCATGATATTTATGTCTGATAGTTATTCAGTCCAGTGTAAACACACAAAAATTTCTCTCGGACATATATTTTTGAGTGTTTACACTGGAATAAACAACTGTCAGACATAAATATCATGCAATAAATGTCAGATGTAACTGTACCTTAACCGTGTAATTGAAGAGTTATGCTCCGTGTGGAGTGGCCTTAAAATAGCGCATCGCAAACTGCGCCACTGTCAGTCACAAGGTAGCGTGGAAAGAACAAATCAAGATATACAAAATATGCTCTTGACATGGATGGACTATGAAAACTACAGGCGAAGGTCAGAGGGTCTGAGATTTGTCCAGTTAATAAAAAATTGGGCATACCATGATGGAATAAAACGATTTTCTTATGCCGCCATGTTTGACAATGCTATTAAAGTCCAAATCTGCTGTTAAAAAAAATCTACGGACCGAATAGCTTGAGGAAGTCGTCAGCGAATTTGGTGTAGGAGAACAGTCACAACAAGAATTCGAGAGACGCTAAAATGGTGGTTCCCACCTTATCGAGGATTGAGGCCCACAAGGGTAAACTCGTAGCGCAACAAAAACGAGAAATGATTTAACTTGAAACGAAATACCAAAAGCCGATAGTAATATTAGCACGTTGAATTTTTTGGTTTGTGAAGCATTGGTATTACTTATGTGATGATTTTCACAAGCCTTGATTTTTAAAACCATTCTATATCGCCTTTTAATTAGGGTTTAAAAACTTGTTCGAGCAATTTATCCAATAATAATTGGCCTCCTTACCTCTTGAGCCTGCTCATGTAAAATATTTGGGCTTCTTACTTCGCCTATCTTTATTCTATTAATAAAGGACAAAAGGATGAGTATTGCAACTATGTTAAAAGAAATAAATTGGCTTTCAGTTCAGAATTATGTTCAGTACATGACTGATATTTATTTATAAAATAAAAATAACATAGTACCATCGCATCAGATCTATTAGAAAAAATTCAATATAATTCGCAATATCACAACTATAATACAGGAAACCAATCTGACTTTCTTGTACGGCAAGCCATCACTAAAAGTTCCAAAAATACAATTTTTATTAAAGGTTTAAAAAATTTAATATACTGCCTAAAGAAATTAAAAAAATAATAATAAATGTATTCAAAAGTAACCTCAACCAATACTTGATAAATAAATAGAACGGATATACTTTCTTGTGCTAATACTCTTTAAACCTGCCCTTTTTAAGTATTTCCTTTAATTTATTGTTATTTTACCACTCGTTTTATCCGCATTTATTATAGATTATTTGTTTTGAGATCATGTACTTTATTTTAAAAAATTATTTGATGTTATATTAATACCACTTACTATGTTTAAATTATTAATAGTTTTGCGAAGATAGGTTACAGCAACTTATAGCCACAAAATTATTTTTGTGTTAAAGTAGATCCATAGAGAGCAATGTAATTTACAAAGGCTTTCTTTCAACATACAAATAAATGATAACTTTATAATTAAAATGAAAAACACAACAAAATACCTCGGTATCATAAATGATCCAAATTTGAAATGGGCATTACTACCTCTCTTTTATATAATAAAAAAGTGCTTTGTATAGGAACATTATATTATATGTAATATGTACTTTTATATATGGAAAGCCCCTGAATTGAGATATTTATTATTTGCAATAAATATCAAAAGAAGTATACATTTTTAAATAATTTGACATTCAAGAGCCATTCACATATCACAGTTAACATCTTGATACTTGACAGGCACAGCCAAGCATTATTTTGATTTTTTCCAAATAAAATAGCCTGTTAATTATTCTATGGGGTTGCGACAGAGAACCAGTAAATTTGATGAAGGTGTTTTTGTGGCTAGGGGCGAAATAGTAGTACGATTAATAGCACTACCATAAAAATTCATTTTTAAGAAACTGCTTATATATTTTTCATAAATTGGCAGGCTTGGCGACTAATTTCGAATGAAAATAGCCTCCAAAATGGCTATATGGTTGCAAGTATGAAGGTCGCAACCCGCCTAATAAATTTCACCTTTACTATCAACAGTTGTTGTTTGACAGGTCGTTAGAGAATGTTTGCAATGTAAAGAATGTTAGGAATTTTGACGTTGAAATTCCTAAAATAATCACATAAGGAATGCATAGACGAATCTTAAGCAAATTGTTATTAAAGTAGTTAAAATAGGGTTCTAAGATAGAAGTAATTATTCAAGAAAATCAAAACCGCAAGTCAATCAGAGTTATCGTGCCGGCATACATACAGACGACCAGACGAAAATTTTTTTTTTGGATTTTCGGATTCAGAATGATCAGAAACATGAAAAAAAGTTTTAAAAAATAGAGGTCAGAAAATTTTTTCGTCTGCACGAATGCAATACTGAGGCCCTATATAAAGGGCCTCAGTAGTGACCTAGAAACACACAATCTACAAGAAGAAATTACTGAAGGTGACAAACCGCAAGAAGATACCACCGAAGGTGGTAATATGAAAAATGTCGACAATAATTATAGCGAAAACACAAACTATATAGAAACTTCAGAAAATCAGATCAAATGTGCAAAATGTGATAAGCCATGTACATCAGCGAATATAAGGTGTACATTTTGCTCGTGCCAAAAAATATACAGTTTAACATACTAGAGGCAAAAATAAATTTAGAAAATCAAACAAGGAAGATATAAGTGTTATCTAATTCAAAGTTCCCTTTATGCTCCGCTGGAGATACAGTTAGAGTGAAAATTCAAGACGTTAATCGAGGGAGGGGTGATTCTTAGAAACATTCTAAAGGTACGTTTACATCTGACATTTATTGCATGATATTTATGTCTGACATTTGTTTGGTCCAGTGTAAACACTCAAAAATATATGTCCGAGAGAAATTTTTGTGTGTTTACACTGCACTAAACAACTGTCAGACATAAATCTCACGCAATAAATGTCAGATGTAAATGTACCTTTATGATAGTTATTAACAAAACAGATGACGATTTGTATAGACTAGCAATTAAGAGTGGAACTATCGAGGAAATGTTTTCCAGAAATCAATTCTGTGAGTAGTGAGAAATAAGTGTATCACCAGAAAAGAAGTTTACGATAACTTTTATCAGTTTTACGAGGTCAATGTTATAAACGATACAACTGTTAAACTAAATGCATGAACAATAAATATAAAGCTACTGGAAATATTTGTATCTCAAAATGTCTCAGCAAATTGACTTGTTTAAGCAAATATATTTTTGTACCCTTTACTTTGGAAGGATATATTTTTATTTTTATTAATTTTAATTGACCGTTAATCTAACTTTACCCGTAATATATAATGCATTTACTCATTTTTAGCCCTAACTAAATTTTGGCCACTTCGTACGAGTAATAGCTGTAGTTTCTCAAGGAAGGTGGTACAAAAAATAATTAGTGGTGCATATTGTTCTACTCTAGTGCAGTATTGTGCAAGAAAAATATCTTTGGGTAGGGGGGGGGGGGGCAACTTTACTAACCTTAAATGATTTTATTAAAATTGAAATGCCTTCTGTTTTAGTATAGAATTTATAATTTAAACGGTGCTACCGGTCAAAGAGTGACTGGTCGTGTGCCTTGTATCGGCACATGGCCTTTATTCAACAGTTAGTATTAATATGGTAAAAAGCCTGCAATTTCCCGTTAACTTTCTATTAAAAGGCCATTATTTGCCAATAATTTATTTCTATAGACATTAAATGGCAAATGAATGCCTATTAACTGGATTTGACTATCGTTCATAGTAAACTATATATAGAGGCCTTTTAACTGTAAAAGTCAAATGGCCATCATTAAAATTGGAGGGCAACATTTACTGGGTCTTTTTTATTCCCCTACATAAAATGTTTGTTGGGTTATGTAGTGTACCTATTTAAATAAATAAATAAACCAATAAATAAATAAAGAACATCCTGTATATTACAAATTATTTTTAAATTGTAGTTCTACTTGATACACATCTTATATAAGTATATTTTTAAAAAAATTATAATATTTCACCCAGAGACAAAAGGGGGTAAGTATACGACAATATATAATTTAATCAATTAACTAAATCCAATAAGCTCATCGAACAACATCACTTCGTAGTATAATGTATCATCATGATTTTGTTTGACCACAGCTAATCCATTTGCTCCTATGAGGCTATTTAACCGACTACTTATTTGATCTCCAGTAGAATATGCTACTAATTCGCCCGAATCAGGACTAATTTTTACTTGAACTCTGTGATACTCTGGACGAGGATCATTATTCTTTAAATTTGGTGCCTGAAAATAGAAAATATAAGAAAATTAAAAAAGTTTAGATTATTTAATAATAGAACCTATATTATTCGACATTGTTAGTTTATTAATTCAGGATGTGTGTTTGGGTCAAGAACGTAGGGAATGTGATACAGAGACACTATCAGAGACACATATTACATCATCCCAGGCAGCACACTATACAGGGTGGCTCACGCTCAACGGGACGGAGCTTTATGGGAAAACGACCAAAGATATAAAAAATTCGTTTGGGAGGAATACGTAGGTTACAGACGGCTACAATTTAAAATTTGTTAGATGTATACAGGATGTCCCACATAAGAAAAAAAAATTAGTTCATTAAAAATTATTCAAACAAGAGTAAACAATTAATTTCTGGGAGACTTTTTTTCCTTAAAAATTCAAATAAATCGAAAACTAATAATAATAGTAATAGGGAACCTTTAGTTAACTGACATTATTTTTGATGTAGTTTTTAATTCTAAAATAAAAAACAGGGTGTTCCATTAAAAATAATATAACTTTGTATATTTTCTCTTATGTGGGACATCCTGTATACATCTAACAAATTTTAAATTGTAGCCGTCTGTAACCTACGTATTCCTCCCAAACGAATTTTTTATATCTTTGGTCGTTTTCCCATAAAGCTCCGTCCCGTTGAGCGTGAGCCACCCTGTATAACTAGCATATGCCACCAATCTGCCTATTTGCCAAAATATTGGAATATTCATAAAATATTCATAGAATATATTTCCTAACCTACATTCTACAAAAATATTCTACGCATATGTATTTTTTTGATAAGCGTGGCATATTAATTTTTCATATTTTACAGATATCTCTGTAGAATAGTGATAGAAATACGTATTTTTACTACAAATCCAAATCCCGTTGCACGTCATCGATGACGTTGGTTATTCGTCATAGTACTACCAACTAATTAAAATGTCCCTAAGTAAGCTAATAATCCTAAAAGGTTACGAATATTTACGAGCATTCATGAACGTAGTCATATTACTAAAAAAAACGAAAAATGTAATGGTGATTATTTTGATAATTTTAGAATTATTTCATTTTATAAGCTTATACACGTCCTATTCTTGATATCAAATTTATATTAATATTATTACATGATTAGTTTCCCAGAAAACATACTTTATAATATGTAATTTTGACACTCTGTACGCCAATGAAACTTGTATTTACATAGACGAAATGTCATTACGGCAGTTGGTATATTTTTAAAAAATTCAGGTTTTAGCTTATGTTCACAAGTTGACTTTCAAAATAAACATAGTGAGTTAATGCTGATTATTTTTCTTTTATTTCTACATGCAAAATGTCAAAAAACTAAATAGTCGTTGTAAGGAGCATGTAGCTTCGTTATATAGTATTTTGAATGAGAGTCTGATAATGATGGATCACTATTACCTTCAACTGCTGTAAAAGTGTTGCATAGCAGGGGTAGAAGTTGGAAAGGCTTTTGGTAGGTAGAAAGGGGTAGACGTCAAACCACGTCGGACTACTTCGAGAATTTCGCAGTAATGTTTACCTGTCAGGTAACAAACCTGTCAATTTATGTGTATGGAGTCGGGGAACTAGCAAAAGCCTTTCCAATTTCTGCCCCTGCTATATGAGAACCTAAATATTTCTTTGAATAAGGATAATTTCCAGACCGTAGCAGAATTTTATATGAATAAAAATTTTCGTTGGTGTAATCGGTCATAAATTTTATTTTATATTGTTAGCACCGTACTACATATGTTTCAGACTTTGTTTCCTTCTTCGGGTGCAGTCAAAATTTAAAAAACATTAAAATATGATATTATTTCGAATACACTTTCACACGCTGAAACAAAAAGATGGGGTTTCTGTTTGTAATCGTCCCCATGAAGATGAAGATGAAGAAGTTTATCGAACATTAAAAAATTTGTGTGACCCAGTTTTGCCCAAAGCAAAATCATTTGAGGAGTTGATAGGAGCTGTTAGCATGTCAGTACAAATTAAGAGTAAGTGTCTTTCGAAAAAGAATCTAATTCGATAATCTAAGACAATGTGATGAGTCCATTGGGGAATGGTATGTTGGAGTGAAACAATTAGCAGCACCCTGTAAGTTTATCAAGGGTAAAAGACAAATTTGTAACGGGTTTAAAAAATGGGCCAATTCTTGATCGTCTTTGTGAAGAGGCAGAAACCAAATCTGTGTCTGAATTGTATGAAATTGTCCTTAGTAAAGAATCAGTTTTGAAAGAATCGAAAAAAGTGGAGGAGGTAAATAAAATTCAAAAAGTTTATAAAAGGCGCGATGAAAGAAAAGAGGGGCCAAGTAAAATGGTAGAGAGGCCAACTACTTCCAGTAATCTCAGATGTTTTGCTTGCAATGAATCTGGTCATAGTTTTGCAAGGTGTAAGTTCAAGAAGTATACCTGTAGAAATTGTAAAAAGATGGGCCATATTGCTGCAGCATGCAGAGAAAGGGTTCATTTGGTCGAAGAGTGTAAAGATTCAGAAGAGTTAAATATAATAGAAATGTTCAGTTTACAAAGCATGAACCAAGATCCTATATTTGCTAAGGTTTTTCTGAATGGTCAGTTATTTGAAATCGAGGTGGATACAGGAGCTGGAGTAAGCTGTATGCCATGGGATATTTATCAAAAGTCAGATACTACTGTTAAGTTGAAAACATAAAATGGATCTATTATTACACACCAGAGATAACAGAGATATAAGAAGTCATTCATAAAATATAATATTCATGGTGCCAAGAACAGTTCGCACTCAAAACATTCTATTTCTAGACGCGGGGCGAGGCGACGTAAGGTGAGAAGTAAAAGAAGGGATACAGTGAAGAATTTTACATAGTTTTATCAATGAATAACTTCCCGAGCTTTTACTACTTAACGTAACTTTTCTTGCCGGTGTAAGCCCTGTTGCCACTTCCAATCTAACATCACTAGGTTTTGGAATTTGTTGAAAATTATTACATCTAATTTAATGAAATTACATCTAATTTGGTTAAAAATGCCTATTTTTTGTTCTAATGCTCAATTAAGTCTTTGTAGGAAGTATTTTTTTATAATTATTAAAAAAAAATCATTTACATTAGCCCTTATGATCAAAAAAAATTTAAATGTCTCAGTTTCAACCGTCTACAAATTTGTATAAAAAAATCTTCTTTTAGAAATATACCTCTCATTTGACGAAAAACGAAGGCCTAAATGAAAAAAAACTATTCTTTATAAAAGTTTCGCCTATGTATTGACAAGGTAAAAATACTTTCCTCATATTTGTTGCTTTTAAATTAACAAAAATATAGCAATAAACCATTAGTGATGTCATGGTTTTACTAGAAAGCAAACATTAAAGGCAGAGCCTATCGACTCTTTATGCATCTATCTCAGTATTGAAATGTATGCAATCAGTTTGACCCCTCTTATATTATTTTATACAGGGATTATTGATTTATCCATCATGTTTAATAGGGTGCACTAATTACTTCAAGATTTCTTTTTTATTTTTAATGTAAAATGAAAATAAGAAAATATAAACTATTTATTAAAGGTATTTATTGAAGTATCAATTATAAACAGTAAGGCTATTGCTTTGCAAAATACAATAAATCCCCAATATAAATAAATTATAATAATAATAATAATAATAATAATTGGAAGGAAGTATATGAAGCATAAATTAATAATATTAAAATTTATAATTACAAGACTTTCAAACTAATCAGAATCAGATTCACTACACGAATCAACATTTTCCAAAACATTAGCGGCTGTGGTCAAACTATTTCTGCAGTTTTTCTGTGCCATACAGGTGCAGGAACCGATACAGTAAATATTTTTTTTTCCTGCATTTGCAAATTTTGCTTCCACAGTCTAGAACAGAATATTATTGTTAGAATATTGTATAGTATGTTTTTTGCATTTGCATGATGTAAGTTCTGTTATGTCTGGTGGCAGGTCGGGCAGAGTCTTAAAAGTGGGTATCAGACTTCCATCTTGATCTACTTTCCATCCATACTCTTCAACATTAGGAAGCTGCATCTGGGTTTAAAGAGGTTAGCCAAATATTTAGCTGGTAAAAACATCTTAAACAATGTAGTCTTAGGGCGTCTTCAGTCGGTGGTAATTTAGCGATGATTTTTGAAGAGGTCAATAATCCCCTCAAAATGTTAATGAAAGTAACATTGGCAGTTTTGAATACATTTTTAGGAAAATTCTTTCAAGATTAGAGAATATGTTTTCAGAGTACTGATCAGTGCCAAATCCATCCAAAAAGTAATGGTTTTCAAGGTAGGTTTTTCAACAGGTTTTGTTCCCAATGCCGGACAATTAAATGGTTGTATCACAACCGGTCAGAATGAAAAGCAGGCATATTTTTTAGAAAGTTTTCATCCAAATTTAAATAATGTACTGCTAGAAATCGTCTTGAGTCTCCTCGCCCTGTTCTGAACCATATATCTTTAGTCAAAAACTTCTTAAAATAAATTAATAAGACATCTGTATCGTTGCAATAAATAATGCAGCGTGAATGCACCGAATTTTTGGCTGACAATATGTGCAATGAGATACGATTATTAGCGTCTGGGTGATTTGAATTTAAAAAAATCGTCTTTTTATGGTTCAAAATTCTTTCCATATTTATTGATTTTCGCGAATCCACCACTAGTTAGAAATTGAATATGCTTTTGCTGAATGGAGTTTTGAAGAAGTTGCTCTGGCAGAAAATGTGTTAAACGTCTTTTGTTAAATATCTAATGAATAAACAAGTTCTATTGTTGCGGAAGTGGAATATTGGGTCGGTCAATTTCTATATCAATTTATTTCTGAAATCCTCTCTTTTGACGTGTTGTATTTTTGATAGAATGTCCTTTATAATGATCAAATACCACATCTATCATTTGAGCATTAAATTTATTTCTAAAAATAATGTTTACAAATATATGAGCATATTCTTTAAATGATATGCAACTTTTGGGCTTTCCTATTTTGATA